CAGTTTTGTAAAAGTAAAAGAGGAAACTTCCAAGAGTGGATTCCTTACAAGAAATAAAATCACTGCTCTTGACTCAATCCTTCGCCATGTTGCTGTCAGCTCACCAACTAAGTGTCTTGCTGGGCCCATTTTCCCATGGTCTGTAGAAGGCGCTGTGAAGCACATCCTGTTCTAGCTCTGGGGCCCTTCCCCCCTCTGCAGCCTTACCCAGTGCAGAGAATGCGCCCCCTACTGACTCCAACACTCATCGCCTTTAGCCGACTTGGCTGCGGTGCATTTTGGGTGGGGGCTGGTTATTTTCATGGCCATAAACCAGAAGCAACAATGCAGATTTATAAAGAAACTATATCAAGCTAGAAAAGAGATTTTTTTTTTCTTCTCATTTTGAAGGTTCAAGACACAGGCACAAGAAGCATCAGGAATGGGTACTGGGTGTGCGGGGATGGACAGCATTAAAACGGCAAACACAGTAAACAGTTTTTGTTCTTTTTCCCTCTTAAGCCTTTGTCTGTGAAATGGGGTTATGGTAAGAACTGTCCAGAGAAACTGGTGAATGCAAGAACATTAGAAAGACAGCGTGGGTGTGTGTGGCTAAAAAGGATATTAGACTTTACAGCCCAATGTTGGACAGAAGAGGAAGAGAAGCAATCGCGCCTTTTCCAGCAGACAGGAGGCATCCAGGTTGGGCGGGGAGTCAGCCCAAAGGAAAGAAGAGGCGAATAAGAGGGTGGTCACATAAGAGGGTGGCCAAAGAACTGCTCATTCATTACATTAAAAAAAAAAAAACCAAACACACTTTTTCACACCTTTCTAAATTTCCATTTTCTGCCATCTTACTGCAAAGTTGAGGCTCAGAAAGCTCCTATGAGACCGTGCTGACCAGGCAACTCAGACTAAGAAAAAGGGGTGGTGGAGGATTGAGATCAGGATAGCAGAGAAACCTAGCATGTTGGGGAGGCAGGATCGCAGCGGGGAGGCAAAGACTTTCACTCCTTACCATGCGTGCTCCCCGCCCCCCAGCCTACTCCCCCCTCCCCCAGCTAGGGGTGGGCAGACTTGGCAGAAGGCTCCTTCCAAGCATTGGGGTGTGCGTGGGGGGCTCCTTTTGGGAAGGGGGCGGAAGGGATTAGTCCCAGGGATGCGCGAAGAGAGGCTCTGGCTGGGGGCGGGGTGGGAAGATGCCTTTAGCTGCAAGAGCCCCAGGCGGCCAGGTAGGCTGCCGCTGTGGGCAGGCTGGCGGGGCGGAGAAGGGGGTCGGGCTGCAGGAGGAGGCGCCTGGACCCCCGACCAGCGCCCAGGTAGCGGTCCGCGCTGGGACGGGGCTGCGCCTCCGCAGCCGAGTGTGCAGAGGAGCGAGCGCACCCGGAGGTGAAGCGTGAACAACAATGCGGCCCGCGCCCCGGAGGGCAGCAGGCGCGGGACAGGGCAGGGCCCGCGCCGCTTACCTTGACTCGGCCTCGAGGCGCGCGCGGGGCCGGCGTGCTCCGGGGCCGGGCGGCG